CTGATGCAGTTCTGCTTCTGTCGAACTAAAGGACACGACAATCCAAACCAAGCGGTGCGGCGTCGTAGTTTACCAAAGTCATACTAAAAACATTTTGAGAGATTTTTGAGCGCCGTGTACCACATAAAATCAGTTCGAAGTCAGTAGGCACGGCCAGATTTAATAAATAAGGCGCATCGGATTATAAAGCGCTATGACGATTTTTTGAGAAAATTTAAATATTTTAAATGCGCCTTATAGTCCAAAAAATATGACTCGCCTTTCCACAGATCTGACCTGTGACTCGGTCTAGTGGCACCATCTGCTCGTCTCCATGCAGACAGACGAGTTTAATGCCACACTGCTGAACATTCCAGGCAAAGCGATGCGTGAAACATGAAGACACGGAGGTGGGAAACTCGCCACAGCAAAAGTTACACAGTGCAGCTTTAACTGGTCCAATCTCAGGTAACCAAAACCATTGAATGTGACGTGAAATACTGAAATACAGCAATAGTTCTTTTGTTTTTTTTGTTTGTTTGTGTTTGTTTTCCCCCAAACTCCACTTTTCGTGATCCACAACTGAAACTGCACATTCGTAATTTTGAGGACTGATTGTCAAAATGCTGCTTAATTTTCAGTTCTAACAAGTGCAATAATATTTTATCTTCATAATCCCACAATCCTTGCTTTTGGCTTTAAAGTCGCATTCTACTTATTTGAATCAACAAAAAAAAAAAAAAAAATCACAATCACAAATTTGTAATGGACCTAAATACATACTACATCTCCCCTATTTCACCACTACAATCTATAGTTCTATAATTTATAATAGCAAAAATACAGCAATTCTGAAAATATTCATTCATTCATTAACAAAATACCTATAGATAAATCCATTATAATACGTCTTTTTGGTAAGAAAATTACTGCATCATCTTAATAAGGCACTTTTGGACGCTTTACATTAAACAGAAAGGTCAATAAAGAGGTCAAATATTAATGATACGACCCATTAAAATAAATACAAAAAAAATAAAGTAAAGACACTACTGACTAACTGCTATTACAATTTGGCTTCCAGTATAGAATAAAACACCTTCTTTTCAGTTTTCAAAAGTAAAATAAAATGGTAAGTAGGTAGTTTTGGTTACAGGTTAAGCTTATAAATGTTCAGATTTAAAAAGGAACCATATGTAAGATTTTTATTTTAATAGGCTCTATTCACGCTTGCGTCAGAAAACCGGCGGACGTTTGGAAACATGCGGATGACGACGACTTCCTTTGGGTTCTGTTAGCGAGAATTTTCCCAGAATTACTAAGAAAATGGTCCAGTTTTCTTTATCTAGATGTCATTGTATTCTTTTTTCCCTTTTAGAAACTGCTTATTAATTTGTGTATTATAATTTGTCTAACTAAAAAGAAAAGATTGTAGCGTTCCGTTATGTTTGGCGGATCAACAGTTACGATCAGCTGCCCGTAAGTGACATTAAAGGTGTGATTAGAGTCAAGCTTTGGCAGGTTGTGAAGAGCGCTGCTGCTGAATCCGCAGTTTTATTGTTTTATCACATGCCCAGTGTCGGGAATTACACCGGAAGTCGTCATCCGCATGTTTCCAAACGTCTTCCAGGTAAGCGCGAGTAGGACCTATTTCCATCACCACGACCCAACCGTGTCCCCAGATACGAGGTAGACATGTTCATATCCAACACTGCTCTTACTGGTGACAACTGTGATGACGATTTTTTTCTTAATTACAGAAATGATGTCCATGATGTTCAGTCACAAACCAGGAAGACGTCTGGAAACATGCGAGGACGAATTCCGGTGGGCCGTTCATGGCAGTAAGTCTGACAATATCTAGGAAAAATGAGAAAACAGCCCAGTTTTCTTCATCTCCATGTCATTGTCGCGTTCCGTTATGTTCAACAATTACAAACATACCTTAATTCGTGTATCATTTGTTCATTAATTTTTAAAAATAAAACCAAAAATAAGAAACCAAAAAAGCAACTATTTTCTTCGTTATTTGTCTCCAAAACCAAAATCAAAAAACGAATAATGATAAATTTTTCAGTTTTTGATTTTGTGTTTAAATGAATAATAGAAAAAATGGATAATGACCATTTTCCGTTTCCATGACAGACTAAACCAGGACTGAACCAGGACTGAGCCCAGAACTAAACCAGGTCTAAACCAGGTCTCAGTCGCAGTCTCAGTCTCTGTCCCAGTCTCAGTCCTGATCACCCGACAGTTTTCACGGGAGCAACTCTGTCCTGGTTCTGTCCTGGTTCAGTCCTGGTTCAGTCTGTATGCAGCGCAAAAGAACGGCATCGCACTTTAATCCATGTAAACAGAAAACGCCCGTTATCAGTTTTTTCCGTTCTTCATTTAAACACAAAATTGAAAACTGAAAAAATTAATCGTTATCCATTTTTTCATTTTGGTTTTGGACACAAATAATGAACAAAATAGTCATTTAGTTTTCTTATTTTTGGTTTTATTTTGAAAAATGAATGAACGAATGACCCACGGATTTACCTCAGTTTTCATCATTTCCACACTGAAGGAACAACTCCGAGCGCATTGGGTACATGTGATTAGAAGAGACGAGATGATTCCAAACAGCACATACGTCTGCAGTCTTCATTTTACCACTGATCACATTTATTTCAGTGGGTTTGATCACAGCCGAGTGTCGGAAACTACACTGGAAGTCGTCGTTGCATGTTTCCAAACGTCTTCCTGGTTTGTGACGCAAGCGTGAATAGATCAGAAAGAAGAATGAAACTCACTTAATACTCACATAAGTTGGGTTTCCAGTTATAGTGCTAAAATCCAGTTGGTTTAAATCTAAAACGCCACTCTCTGATCTGAATGGTCACTAAACCCCAGCACGTCTTAACAATCTTGGATCAGTGCATCTATTGCTAAAATATTTGCCGAAAAAAACATGGACGTATTTTTAAAACTACAAGTACTACAAGCTACATATAGTTCCTTTAACTAATAGCTTTATAAATGTATTGTTAAAGCTGACGTTCCCAGTTTTTCAAAACATCAGTTGTCTCTGGAAAGATGAGTAATGCTAATAGGCTCTGTGCACAATAGCCCCACCAGCCTCACCGTTAGAGTCACTACTTCCCGTAGAATTTAATCTCTGTGATGTTTTTGTTGAGTCATGCTGAAATGAATAAATATTAAAAGATAAGGCAGTGAGCTGCGGGTAGACGTCACTGACATGTTAAAAAGTACACAAACAAAACGAATACTTCAGCGGAAACTTTTGCGTTTAGAAAGGCGGACGTTTGTGTCTCAACAACTCCGCAAACTGTAGGCCTATAAGTATTCAACATGTAAAAATAATTGGTTAGTTTTTATTTGAATTACTTTGAATTGGTTGTTTATCTTATATTTTACGATTTTAATAAAAGTGACTGTTAGTTTTGAGCCTGTGTACAGAGCCTATTGTATTGGAATTTAAATGTCACTTAGCCCGCTCTCACAAAACCACAGAGCAAGTTTGATTACCGTATTTTCCGCACTATTAGGCGCTCTGGATTATAAGACGCACTGTCATTAAATGGTCTATTTTCGAACTTCTTTCACAAATAAACCGCACCGGACTTTAAAGGAAACACAACAGATGGATGGGTGAGTGGTTTTGTTTGTTTGTTCGTTCACGGTGACTCTGGTCTTTGTTCAGTTGTGGCGTGTAGGGAGGGTGCTGTCCGCTGACCGCTGGATTGTCGGCGTGTTCGCAGTGACTCAGTTGTTCAGTTGTGTCTAGAAGTGGCATATTCCGCTCGCTTTTCCGGTTCGTTCCTCTGTTCCGTGGAGGCTGATGATGTGTGTCTGCGGGTGTTTTTCGCCGCGCGGTCGCTGTCTGCTCCGTGTGTGTTTGCGCCTTTGTAGTTTACTGAAGTCGTGCTGGGACACCCAAGTGGATTCATGTATAGGGTGCTCTGGATTCTGGGGCGCGCAGTCGTTTTTTAATGAGGTTGAAGGCTCAAGAGCGCGTCCAATAGCCCAGAAAATACGGTAAATGTTTTTCTTTTGTCATTTTTGGTGTTTAGAAATGTTGTTTGTAGCAGCACTTGAAGATATACTGTGTAACTTTTTTGATTCAGGGTCTGTCACCTCCTTCTTTCTATAGAAATGTCATTGCTCTGCCTGGAATGTTCCACAGTGTGACATTAAACAGCTCTACTTTACATTTATACAATTACAGGTGGTTTTATAGCTCAAAAATCCCTAGAAAAACAGGGATTTTCAGCCTCTCCACAGATCTGTCCTGTAACTTGGTCTGGTTTGGTCTCCAGGAAGATAGAAAGGTTTAAATCCATACTGTGAAACATTCCAGGCAAAGCAACAAGATCTCCATGGAGAAAAGCGTTTGACGGAGCCTCCACCAGAAAAGTTACACAATGCACCTTTAAAGCGGCGGCTACACTTGTGTAGTTCAGCTTTAAACATGTAACTTTGTGGCTAGACTTAAGCCAAAGTAACTCCCCCTGCAGGCCTGTCACGATAACAAATTTTTCATAAGTGCTGAAGAAAATATAGATGATAAACGATAATATTATAACAAATTTATGTCACTGACACAATATGTCTAAAGCAGGATTACCCCAAAAAATATTATAAATGCAAAATATGGTTAAAAAGCATGAACTGCAATAAATAAAAAGCAGAATAAAAACTTTCATATTATATTATATTATTATTATTATATATTAGTTTGTATCTGTAATGGATCATAGAAGTTATCTATTCAAACCCCTACAGCTGAGGTCCAGTGGTGGAAGGTAATAAAGTACAAAAGTAAAAGTACAATTCTGAGGTATCTGTGCTTTACTTCAGTAGATTTTAAAGTGGATACTTACTACATGGATACTTACTTTTACTTCACTACATGTGAGCATGTATCTGTACTTTTTACTCCACTACATTTTAGATCTGGACTGAAAAGTAAAAAGTACTTTTCTTTATGGTTTGAGACCTGCAGAAATAGCTGAGGCTTTTGTTTTAGCACATTTAATTTGCGTTGCAACATTGCAACTTTTAGCAAACAGAATACACCAAAACAGCTAGAAAAATTAAGAAATCAGTTCACTTAAAATCTGCTAAATTCTTGATCAAAATCACTACATTTGATGCGTTAATTGTTCAAAAAATATCTGAAAAATATTTTATCTTTTTACTCTTAATGTACATTTTGAAACAGGAACAGGTACTTCAATAGTTTTACTTAAAAGTAGCCTTTTTATGTGATACTTCTACTTGAGGAATCTTGCCCTTGTGCTTGTACTTTTACTTAAGTAACAAAATTAAGTACTTCATCCGCCACAGCTCAAATCTAAAAGTTGTACAGAAAAATAACCAAAAGTTCCCCACTATACAAAGAAAAAGTGTTCATGATAAATACTGACCCCCAAACCAAACATAATTGTTCCATGTAACCTATACTGAGTTATAAGTTTGTATATACAGTAATTATCGTGACAGGCCTCAGTCCCTGTAACTGTGTAATTGTAAACATCAGTGTAAAGCATTTGGATGGGTCCCTAGATTTCATAACTCCCATTGGACACTAGGAGGTTCTGGACGAAGTGGACGGCGTCATCGATGGTGAAGAAAACCATTTTATTTGGTTGATTTTCGGGGAAGAAACCTCCTTTTTCCAAAGCATCTAAAACAGAGGTACTGCACCGCGCCAACACAATGGTTACTCCAACCTCTGCATAGTCTTTACGCACTTCTTTGAGCGCGCTGACCCCAGCTGTGTCCACAAACAGCACACTGCTACAATCGAGGACCAAAGATGAGATTTTTGGTTCCGCTTTATCTTCCAGCATCAAATTCACAGTCACGCCTTTTCCATTCTCGTTGTTTTGTAATACTTTAGCTTCAGCTGCGAGCTTCTTCTTGCTTTCTTTCAAACGTCTCGCTATTTCTCTCACCGGATCGAGCCCGGCAGACTTGTAAAGTGATTTTTTGAACAGACTTTGATTCGCATAATAAATCGGCGAGTTGTATCTGAAAACGGGGACGCCATCCTGTTTGTGGAGGTTGAGGTACTCTTTCAGATCTTCGTAATGTTCCCTGTCCGAAGCGCGCCCCAGTTCGTTGGCGCGGGCTTGCTGAGTTCGCCCCAAAACGCAGAAGGCGGAGACCAGGACCCCGACCAGCAGCCCGAGCTCGGTGTTGACCAGAGCGGAGGTTGCCATGGTGATGAGCCAGATGGAGGCGTCGATACGGTTCGCGCGCCACATCCGCGGAACGTCCAGAAACTTACGCATGGCCCCGCGGAGGTTGACGACGATGATGACGGCTAAGACACACCTGAGAAGAGAGAGAAAGAGAGAGAGAAGCAGGTGAGAGTAGAGAAACCATAGAACTATAATAAAATCTGGAAGATGAATCCAAGAGGGCGTCGTGTTTACAGTGGCATATGGCCTAAAACTTTACTGCTGCGTTACTTCTTGAATGCTAGCCCTGTGCCGCAAAATGTGTGACATCAGAAACGTGCAGTTGACCAATCAGAGCCTAGAGCTGCTAGAGCCGCTCTTGCATGGGCTCAGAGCAAGGTGAGGCTAACTCTTACAAAGCTGATTTTTAGGCACTTTGACAACTTAAAAAATAAATAAATAAGTTCATATTGAGTGTGTACACATACACATCAGTATCCCGGTTATTATCCATATCTCGGTTCTGTCAGTATTCGGGTTACTGTGTTTACATGTGCACTGAGAAACAGGGACACTCATATCCCTGTGTACATGATCAAATGGAGTATCCCGGTTTCTTGACATAATCTTACAAATGTACAAGCGCAAAAATTAACTTCAATCAATTTAATAAACCAGGAAAAATACAAACCGTGAGCTCCTTTAGCATAAGAAGCTCGGGAGGTTTAACCAGCGGTGAGGAGCTGTGAGATCTCCCACAATCCACTGCACACATCAAACCCAACAGATTCTTCATTAAAATCTTCTGCATGAATAAACTCAACTTTACAACATATAAACCATAACCACTATAGACACATCAGCCCGTTTGATCAGATCAATTCAGCTTTGATCACATTTGTTTACATTTTACAGAAACGAAACTTAAGACCACATGGCTCATTTACATAAACTGTTAGAGCTGAAAAAAAACAGCTCACTCCTTGTGCCGCTGTTAGACACGACTCAGTGGATAATGTGTGTGTTTTTTTGTGACAGAGGAGGCGCTAATGATCTAAGTCTGTTCTGTGTGTATATCGTATAGGGGATAGTTCATGTTTTAGCTTTTCAGTGATCACACGAGTGCAGGTCGTACGAGTGCAGATTGTACATGTGCAGGTTTAGCGCAGCTCTTTATTTTATTTTACTCATGTGGTCACTTTATTTATGTTGGACAGTTGATTTATGTCGCTACTGTTGTGCTGAAAAGACTGGGAAGTGTCTTTTGGACGTATGCACACTCAACTTTATGTTGCAGTAACCGGGATACTGCGTTTACATGCCACAGTATCCCGGTTACTATCGGAATATACCAGCTACAGTATACCGGTTTATAATAACCGGCACACTGCCTTAACCAGGATACTGAAACCGGAGTTGCACCATCAAGAAACCAGGATACTCAAAAAACCCGATCATAACCGGGATACTGATGTGCATGTATACATAGTCATTGTAAGAAAATAGAAGAATCCATACAAAATCCAACCTTAGTGAAAGCTGTCGATGCCCTGTCAACTGAACATGGGTAGTTTGATTTGACAAAAAATGCATTGTGCTCCATGTGTGAAAATTCCCTCAGTCGTCCTGGTAGAATCCATGGCATAGGAGAAATTCAATTGATCAACTGAACTCCCACAGCTGCAGTAACTATAGAGCGGCCACTGATCATTCTGATCAATCTGATCGATCGATAGATCCATGAGAGAAACAGGTTTGGAAAGGTTTTTAAGATAAATAAACATACACTATAAACTAAGGCAGCATTGCAAATATATTTGTAATTTGTGTTTTAATTGAAGGATTCTGTTCAAAGTAGAGTTGTCAAAAGTACTGAAAATCTGATATCAATCTTTGCTAAAACTAGTATCAAAACACAGTTAAATAATGATTTGAACATGAACTGATCCTAAAAAAAAAGTCACATTCACAATACAGAAATCTTGAGCTGTATCAGAACAGTATAAGGGCACATAAAGAGACTAGTATACGCCCATGGAGCACTGGAAAGAGGCAAAGTAAAAATAAAAATTAAAAAAAAGTCGTGACACAATGCACACATTAGCAAACACTGCCTGATAAGTTTTAGTTGGTCTAAAAGCTGAAGCTCCATCTCCAGGTTCCAGGCTTTGATCTAGGTTCTTGCTCAGGATACACTAAAGATGGAGGATCGGTCTGTTTGGAATGCTTTAGGTTTAAGGTCTACGATTTTCCTTGAATACAACTTTTTATGGACACTTTCAGGTTAATGTTATTGAGAGGTTTTACTATTTGCTTGTGTTTCTTATCTCTTTAACAGAGAAAAGATCGAAGGGTAAGAGCCATTTAAACAAACAGAGAAACTAGGTTAATTTGCAGCTTTGTGCTCTAAAAGTGCAGCCCTGGTTTGAACAATAGGAAAATAATGTAAAGAACACTTATGATGGCAAAAGAGAAATTCAATTCTGTCAACTGAGCTAACTACACTGAAACTACTCTGAAACTAAACAAACCTACTTGTTCAAAGTTTCTATTTATTAACTAAGGCTACTGAGTTCAATAGACCTAACTAACAACAGCTGATGTATGACACGTCACCACCAACACCAGTGACGGTTCTAAAGATGTCTTGCAGCTAGCAGCCAAAATACACTACCGGTCAAAAGTTTTAGAACACCACACTTTTTTCCAGTTTTTTACCTGTTTACTGTTGACCAAAAGGTATTCTAAACTTTTGACTCAAACTGTCCACCTCCGTCAGATAGAACAGCTGAACACACTCGTGGCTCTTTCTTTTTACAATAGAAATCAAATACTGTTCAGAAAGTTCTTCCTAAGTCTGTTGCAGAAGTTTCCATAAATGTGTGGCACTTGTAGGTTGCTTCACTCTTCTGTCCAGTTTATTCCAAATGAGCTCGATGGGGTTTAAGTCTGGACACTGTGCTGCTGGACACTCCAGGTTTTCAAGTTTGGACTTGTGTTTTGTTATCTTTTGTCTTTTGTTTAACATCTGGCTGTTCAGTTCTTACCTTTGTACAATTTGTACAATTGCAATAAATAACTGGAATAAATGTGGGTGTTTTAAAACTTTTGACCAGTAGTGTATGTTTATCAGCAAGGTAAATACATCTCCTACTGTACTGTCTTTAAGAAGAACCTAAGAAGTTAATGTACATAAGAAAACAAAATGCATGTTTTTGGATATGCATGTGTTTAAAGGTGCACCGCATAACTTTTCTGGTGGAGGGTCCTCTACATAGTTGTCTCCATGGAGATGTTATTGCTTTGCCTGGACTGTTCCATGGTATCACAACAGCACATACAATGTACAATGTCTGGTACTTACTTATTGCTCAAAAATAGGTCAGATCTGTGAATAGAGTTGTCTCTCCACAGATCTAACCTGTAATGCAGCCTATTGTTGTCTCCCTTGCAATAGGTGTAATCTCTACCGTGGAAAATTCAAGACAAATCAATGGCGAGGAGAAAATTCAGTTTGTCGACTGGACAAAAGTTTGTTTGGTTCAAGACGTTTCTCTGCTCATCCAAGCTGCTTCTTCAGTTCTGGTCAGACGCTGGTGGACATTTCCTTGTATCTGTCTGCAGGGAGGAGCTAACTAACTACTCTGAAACTAACACATCTACTTGTTTACAGTTTCTGTTTGTCAGTTAGGTCTATTGACCTGTACAGGCTGTAGGGTCCCGTACAGGTCAATAGGCAGATTATGACCAGAACTGAAGAAGCAGCTTGGATGATCTGAGAAACATCTTCAACCAAACTAACTTTTGTCCAGCGACAAACTGAATTTTCTCCTTGCCATGGATTCTACCTGAGGGATTCTTCACACAAGACAAAGCAATAACATCTCATCAACATGGAGACCAGCGGGTGACGGACCTTCCACCAGAAAAGCTGCGCAATACACCTGTAAAGTAGGTCATAGGTTGTACTTACTTTTGCAGTGAATAAAACAGAGGAGCGATGACCAGAAGCACCAGCAGCAGCACCAGACCAGAGACCAGCCCAGAGATCTGAGTCTGACACCCAGTCGACTCCTTCACCAGAGTCTTGGTTAGCGCCGCACTAGTGGTGAAACAGTGGAAAAATGACGGCAGGATATTACAAAACCCAATGGCGTACATCTCCTGGTTGGCATCCACAGTGTATCCGTGCTTTTTGGCAAACATCTCGGACAATGACACAGTGATGGCGAATCCGACTATAGCGATGGAGAACGCGTCCACGGCGACGTTTGGGATGAGTGACCAGCTGGGGAGCTGTGGAGGCATGAAGCCCGTGGGAATGTTTCCGGACACACCAGAGCCGTACTCAGTGTTAAAATGTCCAAAGTGAGACGCGACAGTGGCAATGATGACCACAAACAGCTCAAATGGGATCGGAGCCTGGGAAAAGAAAATAGAACATTTACACATGGATTTAGACCAGTTTTAGACCTGGATTAGTCCTGGTTCAGCAGGTTTCTTAAAGGTCCTGTATTATGCAAAACTGACACTTGTGAGCTTTAAGGTATGTTAGAATGTTGTTTCCTCCTTACAAACATATCTGGACACAAACGCCGCAACAAATACAAAATGTGACAACACAACAAAAAGCCACAACAAACCAAAAAAAGCCACAATGGAAATGACCACGGGACTCTATTTTAATGCAAACGCCGCAACAAATACAAACGGCATAACAAATACAAACGGCACAACACAAATACCACAACACAAATGCAAATGCCGCAACACATTAAAAAGCCACAACGGAAGTGACCGCGGGACTCTATTTTCCGATGGACCGATCAAGCGGCAAGTGAAGAAGAAGAACTACAACGTGAAAAGTAAAGGAACGGAGAAGTTGGAAAAAAGTTGGTAAAAGTAAGTTATTGTTTTATCATTATTCGTTTCACGTTGTAGTTCTTCTTCTTCACTTGCCGCTTGATCGGTCTGTCGGAAAATAGAGTCCCGCGGTCAATTCCGTTGTGGTATTTTAATGTGTTGTGGCTTTTTGATGTGTTGCGGCATTTGCGTTTGTGTTATGGCACTTGTATTTGTTGCGCCGTTTGCATTAAAATAGAGTCCCGCGGTCACTTCCGTTGTGGCTTTTTTCGGTTCGTTGTGGCTTTTTGTTGTGTTGTCGCATTCGTATTTGTTGCGGCATTTGTGTTTGTTGTGACCCCTCTCGGCTTCCGTACTCAACTCATTCCATGACAGAAATAATCCTGAGTCTGATCAAAGCCAATTCAAGCCTGGAGTTTAAGCTGTGCTTTGTGCGCTCGAGGTGACTCTGGGAAATGGTCTCAAAATGTGACTTTTCTGTAATGATTTGATTAAACGAGAGAGGAGCCACAGCGTGCACGAACAAGACACTGAACTTTTATGGTCATTCTGATCTGAGGAGCTAGAGGAAAAAGATGACTTCCCCCTCCTCTCCTGTCGGTCCGTCGACAGGAGAGGAGGGGACTGTGAAGTGCAGACTCTGGAGCCTGGTTAATATGACCGGGTAATGAAGTTGCCTGACCCCTTCCCGATGCGCGGTAGTACGTGCGGAGCTTAAGTTCTGCTGTGCGTAAAAATGAAGCTGTAACGGAACTCTTCACATGTAGTCAAGAAGAAATGATAAAATCCTTGCCAACGTGCTTCCAGCTTGACAGAGAGACGAGGGAATGAAGAAAGACAGACGAGATGAAAGAGCGATCACACAGAACCCACTTAAAAAAAGACCTCAGCAGTAGAGAGCAGCAACTCCAGGGCTGAAATCATCACAGTGATTCTAGTGAAGGTGTATAGAGTCTAAAAACACAGTGGAGCCCTTCCTGTATTACCACATGACATCAAAAGGTGGAACAGAGCGTTTTTAGTTGGAGAAAACACAACTCCAGGTCTGTTTGTGTTGAGGAAATGGCAATATATAGATAAGAAATTAGCTTAGTAAGGGCCCTTTCATATTTTTTGTCCTATACAAATGTAACTACATGAGTAAAAATGTCATGAGATTTTTTTTTATTATTATTTCTTTGGTGTGCACACTGTTCTGGCAACTTTGTCCCATGAAATCTTGCCCCATCCTTACAGCACAGCCTTATCTTTATACATTTATAGGAAACATTATCTTCCTCCCTCTCACCTTGAGTTTGCTCTTGAAGCGGTCGTTGATCTCTTTGGTGGGGATGAGCACGGCGAGGCACACCAGACTCGTGATCAGGTCGCACAGGTTGGTCTGGCCCAGGTTCGAAAAAATGGCCACCCATGTCTTGAAGAGCGTGAACCAGCCCTGAGCCCGCGGGATCTTGAGTCCGAGCATGTACTTGAACTGAGACGTGAAGATGGTGAGAGACGCTCCTGTGGCAAAACCGCTGAGCATCGAGTCTGACAGGTAAACGGAGACGAAGCCCACCTGGAAAATCCCCATGAGGACCTGCACAGGAGGAGAGGAAACGGGAAGTGAAACAGGGACGTAACAATTCAATTCAAGTTTATATATAAAGCACATTTAAAACAACTTCAGCTAACCAATGTGCTTCACATTAAAAGTCAACAAAACAGAGAGAAACAGATATACAGTATTTTTGGGACTATAAGAAGCACCGGATTATAAGGTGCAATATCAGTAATGTTGAATTCTTCGACAATCCATCAAGCGGCGCAGCTTTGTACCTTACCAAAGTCGTACTAAAACATTTTGACAGATTTTTGAGTGCCATGTGCCACATACAATCAATTCAAGGTCAGTAAGATTTAATGCATAAGGCACACCGGATTATAAGGAGCACTGTCGATTTTTGAGAAAATTAAAGGATTTTAAGTGTGCCGTATAGTCAGAAAAATACAGTAAAGATAACACGACTCATGGGAAACAGTACTTAGAACATAATTTCCCATAGTTTGCATTCAGACTCTACTACTGGGGGTGTGCAAAAATATTGAAATATCAATATATCGTATCGTTTAATGTGATGATACTGTATCAATATTGTGGGCTGCTGTATTGATATATCACCAAGAGTATTTTTTTTGTAAGTTTTATTGAATTATTTTGTCACAGCGCTACAGTTTTGTTGCTTGTTCAGAGGAAGGATGCAACACATGTTAGATTTATGCAACACATCTAGACATTTTTGAGGATTAAAATGTTTGTGTTTCATATGAACTTTGCACAAGAAGTGGTTTAACAAAGACTTTTAGTATCACAGCCATGATTTAGCCTTTATATTTTACTGACCCCTGATCCCTTAGCCCAGACGTCCACGATCCATTGGCAGACAGTGGCGTAACTCGGCCGGCGTCGCCTCCCTGTCTTGGTGAATGTGGATTATGAATGTGAATGTGGGTGGATCATTTATTTTAAATTTGTTTTATTTCCTACGAGGACAACTCAAATATACATTGAGTAATAATGTGTTTATGCAAATAAGTCATGTGATTTTAAGCTTCAATTCTGTAGAACTTAAACAAAGGTGCTCAAAGCTGCATTAAACTATAAAGCGCTGAAAAAACAGCTCACTCCTTGTGCACTGATGCGGTTCAGCTTCTGTCGGACTAAAGGACACGACTCCTGACTACAATCGCCGTAATGCTCCGACAGTCCATCAAGCGTTGCGGCTTCGTAGTTTACCAAAATTGTACTAAAACATTTTGACAGATTTTTGAGCGCCGTGTACCACATAAAATTATTTCAAGGTCAGTAAGCACAACCAGAATTAATACATAAGGTGCTCCAGATTATAAAAGCGCACTGTTGATTTTTTCAGAAAATTTAAAGGATTTTAACTGCGTCTTATAGTCCGAGAAATATGGTAAAAAGTAGAATTATTTTGCAGAGATTTTTAGAACAATTAAAGGATGAACTGTGGATTCAACTGATGTTTTAATTTTCCTAGCTGCTTTTGTGTACTTGTTGGGACATCATATTATTCATACTAAATGTGCTAAAAACTGTCACGCAGGTAAACTGGACTCAAATGCAACACAAGTACACATTTAAATAACTGAAAGTGTCCTATAACAGGGAATGTATAATGGTAACTCAGACTGAAAAAACAACAAAGGAATATATGATATAAAATGTGAATGAAAATATCCTCCAAGACTGGGAAATACACTAGTAAGAAATGAACTGGGAGTAAACTCAGAAACAGGGACAACAAACAGGGAAAAACACAGAATTGCAGAAGTTGCAAACAGATCAGATTCAGGGGTAAGATACAGGGTTTTCAGAATTCAGGGTTCAGGTTTTCAGGAGCTTGAGTGTCTGTCTTTACAGGTCAACAATCTAGGAAAGACTGAGTGAGCAGAGGGAGTATTCTATGTTCAGACTGCAGCCTGAAGTGACCCAAATCTGATTTTTTGGCTTCAATGTGACCTGTATCTGATCTTTTAATGACAGTCTGAACGACACAGATCTGATTTTATCAAATGCGACCCAGGACACTTCGATATGTGCTCCTGAAACCGATACATATCTGATCTTTTGACATGTGACTTCAGTCTGAACGGACAAAGCGCATTCATCCACCTACACGTTATCAACAAGCCACAAACGTCAATATTCGGGGCTGAAGTAGGAGAAAATTGTTAATGAACTCCGTGTCACTGAAGTGAAGCACATCACCACTCACCACTCTTGGTTACGTCTCCACATCCACACGTTCTTTTCAACGGACTGCCCCACAAAAAGCAATGGTCAAAAACCTCGTCCTTCTCCTTCTCAATCTGCTCCTTAAAACAAGTAAGTTGTTCATGTTCTGGCTCCGGTACAAGAGGAACTTTAAAATCTCCATGTGCTCAATGCTGCGTCCATGTTTGGACAACTTCCGTAAACACAGAGCACGCTCGCTGTTGTTGACGTCGTCGTGTCTCCAGTGCACATGCGGGACACTTTTGGGCCGTTTAATGTTCACACTGGAGTCACATACAAGTCGCATTTAATTGGAAATGTGAACGACCTCACAAAAACATCAGATTTCACAAGAAAATCCGAATAAAGTGTTAAGCCCTGCAGTCTGAACGTAGCCATTGACTGGCTTGGGCTGAGCGGAATAGTCTGGGAAACGGAGCTGGACTGGGGAAAACAAACAAAAAGGCAGAACTGTGACAAAAACAATGTCTCAGCCATTTGAACTTTTTTCTCAGAACTTTTTTTTACTTTTCAGCCCAGATCTAAAACGTAGTAGAGTAGAAAGTACAGACACATGCTCTCAAATGTAGTGAAGTGAAAGTAAAAAGTATCCACTGTAAAATTGATTTAATTAATGTACCGGTATTATACTTTTACTTTTGTACTTTGTTACTTTCCACCACCACATATCAGTAATAATGATGTGTAATTTATTTCCTCACCTGATAAACTCCAGCCGTAAAGGTAACAGTGGTTCCCACCGTGATGGCGTAACAGCTCCTATCGCACCCTTCCCCTGTACTTGTGTTAGTGCTTAGACCTGAGACCAGCTCACTACTTATATTTATACTACCACTACTGCTACTTTCTGGAGGGTATCCGGCCAGTGCTAACTCCCTATCCACCACCTGTCCCACCAGCAAACACAGGACCCCAAATATGCCAACAGAAATGTGCCTCGATGTGCCCAGAATTGCATAGATGATGGAGGCAAAGAATGACGTGTATAAGCCATATATAGGATCCTGGCTGGCCAATAGCGAATAGGCAATAGACTGTGGGGCAAGCAGTATTCCCACGATCAACCCTGACATTACATCTCCCAGTATCCAGTTTTTGAGCTGGTAACGCGGCAGCCATGTCAGAATGGGGACGAAGCCGAGGATTTTGGATTTGACTTTCTGAGAGGAGCAGGTGCAGTGCTTTTTGAAGCGTTGGGATAAAATGTTTTTCCACGTTTTGGGAGGCTCTTTCTCCACTCGCTCCAGGATGAGAGGCTGGTGCAGGTGGGACTCGGGGCTGCAGTCGTCGTCCTGCATTGTCAAGTTTGTCTGTGGAGAAATAAAGGAGAAAGTATCATTACATGTTATAGAGAAGTTTTGATAAGAGGTATTTCTTGTTTTTCACAGTAAGCAGAGTTCTACAGATTTTTCTTTTTGACTTTCAGATACAGTCCATCTCATATATAAAAATCTACAATTGTTCAACTATCATTAATTATGGGAGATTGGCTCCACAAACTTGACTTCTTAGTTGAATGGCTTAAAGTTTATTGTGTCACTTTTCTGGTGGAGGATCCGTCAGATGCTTTTCTTCATCAAGATATTATTACTTCGTCTGGAAAGTTTCACATTATAGTATTAAACCTTTGTATCTTCATGGAGACCAAACTAGACCAAGTTACAGGTCAGATCTGAGGAGAGAGGCCTGTTTTTCTAGATATTTTTGAGCCATAAAACCATCTGTAATTTGATGAATGTAAGGTAGAACTGTTTAATGCCATCTCTTAGTAAAAATTAGGTCAACCATGATTATTGCGGGAGAAGTCCTTGTAGCTGACGACAACAAAATGTATTCTTGGGATATTTGTGAATTAACAAAGTCATGCTGACTGGCCCCGGCCAATCACATCAATCACAGAGAGCGATTGAGGTTAAGGAAGACTTAAAGACAAAGCTCCAAACCAAAACAAACATGGTGTCGCCAACAAGCCTATTTTAGCGTCAATACAGACTATTTAGTTTGTGATAAATGTGCAGAAGGTAAGAGTGCATTGTGCATTTGACGTTCAGCTTTTTTCCAAACACTTTAAATTGACATGAGTCTGCTTTGAGATTAGACAGTCACAGCTTTGGAGTTGAATAACAGCACCACTCTCTGAAGCTTTTGTTTATTTAAGCTGACACAGAGGACATCGAACTTTGAGACAGTTTTTGTTTAAAAATTATATCTAGGCCAAATGTGTGTGTGTGTGTATGTATGTATGTATGTGTGTATGTGTATGTATGTGTATGTATGTATGTATGTGTGTATGTATGTATGTATGTATGTATGTATGTATGTGTATGTATGTATGTATGTATGTATGTGTATGTATGTATGTATGTGTATGTGTATGTATGTGTATGTATGTATGTATGTATGTATGTATGTATGTATGTGTATGTATGTATGTATGTATGCGTATGTATGTACATGTATGTATGCATATATATGTACATGTATGTATGTATATATGTATGTATGTTTATATGTGTATATATATATATAATATATATATATATATATATATATATATATATATATATATATTATATATATATATATATATATAATACACACATATATATACACATGTATGTATGTAATGATTGGCATATTTTTTTTCACACACTTTTACAAACAGAGAAATTGCTGACCTCTTGATTAAAAAGACGATTGAGAATTGGAAAAGTCTAAAACTGATGCTGTGACGCAATTATAAGTCTGTATTTTTATCTTTCAGAAATTAATATTCAAACACATTTTATTCCTTTTAATAGAAGAAATTAAAGAAAAACTGCAATCAGTGGTGACTCATTGATTTTTACACATGGCCCAGCCCTACAGTGCAGCCCCATTAGAAACCCAGTGTAGTAAAAGTGTCAGTTTTAGGTGTGGTCAACAACACCTTTTAAATCAGACTCCTCTGTTCAGCTTGTATCATGTTTCAGATAAGATTACCCTAGTTTCTCCGTCACTCAGTTTGTGGTGACCCTTGAAAGAGGCTTTTTTGCCATTTTGTAAAACTAAAGAACTTAAAAGACAAAAAAAAAAAAAAAAAGAGCCAGGAAGTAGGTTGCAAGATGTTTCACTAATTTTGAGGGTCCAGCAATTAGCAAATCACTTTTTAAAGGTGCATTATGTCACTTTTCTGGTGAAGTTTTTCTGGAGATGTTATTGCTTTGTCTGGAATATTTCACAGTACGACATTAAACTTTTCTAGCTTCATGGAGACCAAACCAGACCAAGTTAGAGGTTTTTCTAGGTATTTTTGAGCTATAAAACCACATGTAGTTTAATAAATGTAAACTAGAGCTGCTTAAAGTCATACTGTGGAACATGAAGCAAAGCGATGACATATCCATAGAAACAAGCAGGTGACGGACCACCACCGAAAGTTACATAGTGCACTTTTAAGTAACATGATTTCTCGCAAACAATAAAATATCTTATCCATGTAAAAAATAAAATAAAATAAAAATTGCAAACCCCATGTAATTTTTGTATTCATTTAGCAGTTCATATTTCAGCATTCTCTCAAATTATGCAATCAAAATTTGTAGTCTGAACAGGATCCTATTTAGAAGCTGGGTATTATTACGAAGTTACCGATACAATACATAGGCCGTGATACCAAATGCTTATCGATACTGTACGCTTTCGATTCAATACGATCCGATGCGACATATTTCAGATCAATTCGATAAGGCTAAATCATGGCTGTGATACAAAAAGTTTTTATTAAACCACTAAGTTTGAGCAAAGTTAACATGAAAAACACCACTTTACTCATCAAAACAGTAAGAATGTCAAACTGAACGATTGTAGCTCTTTCACAAAACAATTTAATAAAATACACCAAAAAATAAATACTCTTGGCGATTATATCGATACAGCAGCACCTGATATCGATACTGTATCATCAAATTAAACTAGGGCTGGGTATCATTAAGAAGTAGCCGATACGATACATACCTCGATACAGTGTGCTTTCGATTTGATACCATATATTTCAAATCAATTCGATACGATTCAGTTAAAATAAATAAATAAATCATGGCTGTGATACTAAAAGTCTTTGTTAAACCACTTCTTGTGTAATGTGAATATGAAACACAAACATTTTAATCCTCAAAACAATAAAATGTCAAATGTTTCGCATAAATGAGTTTCCTTCCTCTGAACAAGCAACAAAACTGTAGCTCTGTAATGAAACACTTTAGTAAAATATACCAAAAAAATACTCTTGGCGATATATCGATACAGCAGCCCACGATATCGATACTGTATCATCACATTAAACTAGGGCTGGGTATCATTAAGAAGTAGCTGATTCGATACATACCTCGATACATAGGCCGTGACACCATACATATATCGATACAGTGTGCTTTTGATTCGATACGATATATTTCAAATCCATTCGATACAGTGCAATAAAAAATAATGGCAAAATCATGGCTGTGACACTAAAAGTCTTTGTTAAACCACTTCTTGTGTAATGTGAATATGAAATACAAACATTTTAATCCTCAAAACAGTGAAAATGGCAAATGTGTCGCATAAATGAGTTTCCTTAGCAAACTGCTTACAAACTGTAGCACTTGTAATGAAATACTTTAGTAAAATAGACCAAAAAAAACTCTTGGTGATATATATCGATACAGCAGCCCATGATATCGATACTGTATCATCACATTAAACAATACGATATATCAATATTTTTGCACACCCCTAATCCTCTTATCAAAATGTTCAAGTGTAAGCGTCGTAATCACAAGGTCTGGTACATTTTGAATCCATTTGATATTTCTCCAAACACACGTGTGCCACTGAGATAAGGAACAGATATTTGACCCTGTAAGCTTCAAATATGCCCTTAATAACTGACAATATTGTAGATACGGCTGTCAAAAGTATCGAGAATCTGATACTAATTGACACTAACACTAGTATTGAAATTAGATACTCGTTTGAGCAGGTATCGATCCTGAAATTCGTATAAACTGGATTCAATTTGACCTTTTCTGAACAGTTTAATTTAGAGTTTTATCAGCGCTAGTGTAAGACGACATGGAATAATAAACAATTTTTTATTTTGTAGGGGTGTAACGATATCCAAGTCTCACGATACGATATCATCACGGTATGAAGCTCACGGTACGATATTTATTGCGACATCATGGGAAAGCTCACGATATGGTGGGGAGGCTCACGATTAGGGATGTAACAATATCCAAATCTCTCGGTACGATATTTTCACCATAAACATCTGACGGTACGACATTTATTGCGATATTTTGTCGAGGCTAAAAATAAACTGTTAATATGCTACTTTTTCCTCTTAAAATGCCTTGACAAGACTTAATCCAAAGAACTAAGACTTAAAAGTGTTAGAACTGTTATTTCTTCTTGTAGTCTGCAGGGAAATGGAGCAAAGGATCATGGTCTATGTAGTTCCCTCTGTCTTTTTTAGCTGTTGCTGCACCATAACTCTTCATTTAAGCAAAGAGACTTGTAATTCGATATATTGTGATGGTCCACGATACTATTGTGAGAACTTTGACGATACGATATCACAATATTTTGGTTATTGTTACGTCCCTATTATTTTGTGTGTAAAATTATAATAACGTCTAATAAAGAGGTTTTTAAAATGATAATTTGGGTATCAAAAACTGGTCTATATTTTTAGTTATATTTACAAAATTTTTTTGTATTTTTTAGTTTAGTAATTTTAGTACCGCAACAGCACGAGTGGATAAATGCATGTCCAAAATGACATTAATACTACTTAAACATTTACTGATGCCACTTAACTTCTTTTTATTCTTGTCCATCAACCACAATAACAGACACTTACTGTTCAAATGTAAGTATTTCTCATAGATTTTGTTAAGACTATGGTGGTACAATTTTTTATTTTTTATTTTTTTGAATCATTTTATCTCATTAAATTGTATTTCCCATAGATTTTGTTAAGACTATGGTGGCACTATTTATTTTTTTCATTTTTTATTTTTAATCATTTTATCTCATTAAATTGTGGTTCCCATAGATTTTGTTAAGACTACGGTGGCACAATTTTTTTATTTGAATCATTTTATTTAATTAAATTGTGGAGTTCAAGTGGCCCATATGACTCTATTTTCTGATCGATGTTCTAATGTTTTTTCCCCATCAAAAACATACCTGGAATTGTTTGTGAAATCCCTCAGTCGTCCAGCTAGGATCCATGGCAAAGGTGAAATTCAATCCTGGACAGAAGTTTTTCACAGCTCATCCAAGCAGCTTCTTCAGTTCTGGTGAGATTGCTGGTGGACACTGCCTTATATCTGCCTGAAGGGAGGTGTAGTTTCAGTGTGGTGAGCTCCTCCCTTCAGGCAGACAGAAGGGAGCGTCCACCAGTCACCTGAAGAAGCATCTTGCATGAGAAGCGAAACGTCTTTGAAACACACTTTTGTCCACTTGATAGAACTGAATTTCTCCTTTGACATACCTGGAGTTGCGTTTTTCATTCACCCGTAACACACAAACCCTGCATGTTTAGGTTGAGATCTTCTCTCAAACAGACAGCACCGTTCCACCTTGTGATGTCATATGCTAATACAGGAAAAGCCCCACTGTGTTTTTAAACTCCACACACCTTCACTGGAATCACTTGGATGATTTCAGCCCAGTTGCCAATCTCTATGGAACTAAAGGTAAAAGGTCGTTGTTAACTTGAAAACTACCACTTCGTGACATCACTAGGAGGAACAGAACAGAACATTTTGAGCTTTGGAGATGTAAACAGTAAGGATGTAACAATAACCGAAATATCATATCGTCAAAGTTCTCACAATATATCAAATTACAAGCCTGAAGAGTTACGTTGCAGCAACAGCTAAAAAAAAAACAGAGGGAACTACATAGACCATGATCCTTTGCTCCATTTCAGTGCAGACTACAAGAAGAAATAACAGTTTTAAGCACTTTTAAGTCTTAGTTCTTTGAATTAAGTCTTGTCAAGGCATTTTAAGAGAAAAACGCAGCATATTAACAGTTTGGTTAACCTCCACAAAATATCAAAACAACTATCATACTGTGAGATGTATATTGTGAAAATATCGTACCGAGAGATATGGATATTATTATATCGAGAGGTTCATACCATGACAATATCGTTTCGTGAGACTTGGATATCGTTACATCCCGAGTAGACAGACTTAAGGCTGTGGAATTAATTAAATTTTGATCCAAATTTCAATTTGTGTGTCAAATGACCTCTAAACTCATATAATCTGAGTTGAAACAAGAAAGCTTAACAAAGTTTATTTGGGGATATTTTTATATATTAGTGTATAAGTATTAGGGATGGGCATGATTAGCCAATTAATCAATAATTGATCATTAAGAATTTAATCGATTACATTCATTTTAATCAACAAACCGAATGTAGGTTGCTGTGTGTAGTGTGACCAAACAGGTCTGTACATGTGTCTCTGCATCAGAAGGAGCGAGACACAAACAGTGGGTCAGTCTGCAACGTACTGAAGCACAAATGTGTATTTAACAATGACTTGTACAAGAAATTCCACATTTTCCATTGTGTTCAGGACAAGTGTGAGTCCATGTGCACAGTGTACAAAGCAGCACATATGTGTCTGTGTCCAGTGGGAAAAAGTTTTGTCAGGTGAGAGTCGCTCAATGTCGATGACGAGTCCCCACCTCCCTCCCCCCGTACGGTGTCCTGGTTTTGACAAACGCAAATATGGTCACAATAACCTGTATTCCACTGAATCGTGCCACATCAGCGCACAAGACCTGTTTTTTTTCTTCACTTAGTTTATGCAAATGAGCCATGAGGTTTTAAGTTTTCTTTCTGTGAGAGTTGCACAAATCTGAATTAAACACATTATAATGTCAAACGGGCTGATGTGGCTCTAGAGTCGTTACGGTTTATATGTCATAAAGTTGAATTTATTTATGCAGATTAGTAGTGCAGATAGTAATAATAATGATGATACATTTTAATATAAAAAACATGAATGATTAATCGATAATTGATCGTTAATTCTCCTGACGATCGATTAAGAAACTTTTATCGAATGCCCATCCCTAATAAGTATATTTTATCTTTTCAATATAGAGATTGTAGAGCAGCTGGATATATAGTTTATTTTGGATACATTTATACTTTTCTATGACTTATTTCATGTTTGAAGCATATTTTATTTATTTTATATTTTATACATCACAAAACTGCAGGTACAGATTTGTAAACTATATTTATTTAAAATTTGAAGATTTGGGGTAAATTATCAATAAAGTGTTTTTCTTTCTTTCTTTTTTTTTTTTTTTTTTTTTGAGTGAGAGAAATGCTGAATAAATGTATCATGTAACTAAAAAAATAATCGTTTGAATAATCGTGATTTCAGTATTGACCAAAATAATCGTGATAATGATTTTTTCCATAATCGAGCGGCTCTAGACAGACTAATAATAAACTGTTACTCAAACATGTGTGAATAAAATATAAAACATAACTTTGTATCATGGGACGTTTCAGTGTCACTTACAGCCTATTATATTTAAGGAGTCATTTTTGATCAGTGTAGTCTCTTTTATAAGTTTATGATAATACAATGAGCAGTAAAGTCCAGTAGTATTACATATAGTCCAGTTTATTTTAGACTTTTGGGGGCTACCATAGTCTCCTGTTTGAATGGTTATAGTCTCCTGCTTAGATTTACTCTGCTGGTTCAGTGTTGTGTTTGATTTATTGTCTGTTGTAAATCTTTATAGTATCATTTATCTTGATCTTGATTTTGATTGCACGCTCTTATTCTCCTACTGGTCTTGAACTTTGTGTTGGAATAGTGTAATTTCCCCATTATGTAATTAAAAAAAATAAAGGTTTCTCGTAATTGCCCGGCCCTACCGTGTATTTAGAGTTTTAGTTGGAAATCATTTCATCTTTGTAGTGTCTTTGTGTGGACCTGTGGGGTGTAGAGATCTAGACTACAGAGGAGATTCAACACGAATACAACAGGAAGCACAGGACTTGGGAACTTCAGTGGTCCTGCTTTGATAAGATCAGCTTTCATTGTCGATTCAATTCAAGTTCAAGTTGATTCCTATAGCACACTGAAAACAACTTCAGCTGACCAAAGTGCTTCAAATGAAAGCCAACAAAAACAGCAGAAACAGATATAAAGATAACACAATTCATGGGAAAACTACAATATAACACCAAGATATCCTGTCTAGCCAGTAATAAATGCTGGATGTAACACTATCCAAATCTGATGGTACAATATTTAATGCAATATTTTGTGGATGAAAACAGAATAGTGAAATGTGCTACTTTATCCCTTTTAACACGCCTTCCTTTGGTACTGTTATAATACAAAGAACTAACACTTAAAAGTGCATAATAACAGTGATTTCTTCATGTAGTCAGCACTGAAATGGAGCAAAGGATCATGGTCTGTAACAATGATTATAAGTGGAGACTTGTAATCTGATATTTTGTTATTTTTCTTACATTATCACTACATTGAAAATGGAAAGGAGGCTGCTCCACAGTCTGGGTGCCACAATAAAAGCTCTGTCACCTGGGGCTGTGCCAAAATGTCTAACCAATTTTCTGCAGAAACACTGTATTGTTCCTATCAACACAAAATAAAAACTAGTAATCCTGACACCATGCTTTTTATGCCTATCTTGTCTTGAAAATCAGAAAAATAAAACCTTTTTTTCCCTTATCGCCAATTCCTACTGTCACCTCTCATGCCACATGAGGCCTACTTTTGGGCACAGCAGCAGGAGCTGGTCAGCAGCAGGAGCTGGTCAGCAGCTGGTCAGCAGCAGGAGCTGGTCAGCAGCAGGAGCTGGTCAGCAGCAGGAGCTGGTCAGCAGCAGGAGCTGGTCAGCTGACCTCAGGGCTTTGGGTGGGGTATAGGGCTTCAGTAATTCCCTCAAATAAAGTGGACCCATAGAGTGCAAACAGTTACACAATCAATAGGGGTGTGCAAAAATATTGAATATTGTTTAATTTGAATGATACAGTGTCGATATCGTGGTCTGGGCAGCCTCACAAAACTACAGTCGTCACACAGAATCTCCGTGCACCCCTTTTATATTTATATATATTATTTATATACCAATACACAATATACAACCAAAATACAACAATTGTGTTGCTTGTTTGGAGAAAGGAAGCTTGGTTATGCAACACATTTGATATTTTCACTGTTTTGATGAGTAAAATGTTTGTGTTTCTCATATTAACTTTGCACAGACTTAGTGGTTTAATAAAGACTTTTAGTATCACACAGTCATGATGATTTAGCTTTTGTTTTTAACTGAACCGTAACAAATCGATTTTAAATATATTGCATCGAATCAAAGGTGCACTGTATCAAAAAAAGTGTATTATTGATGACAGTAAGAAATTGTTAATATATATATATTTTTTTTTAGAATATAAGACAATTACTGTTTGTAGGAGACTGGTCAGGATTAGTTCACTGTTGCAGCCCTAACAGACACAGAGACATTTTAATGCCTACTCTTATTGCCCAGAGCCTTTATCTTATCATAGTTTATACTATATTATAATTAATTGTTTTATGTTGCACTATAACGCCAAAGCAAGTTCCGTTCATGTATTTTCAGCCAACCTTCTGTCAGTAAATAACTGTTTTGATGATTCTGGTCTGATCCAGCTGCTCTCACGTGCACATTTACCATTTATTAGCCTTTTGTGTGTAACAGGAAATGGGGATTTTATCATGTGACATTTATTAGCCAAGACAAATATCATTAAATTCACTGCACTCTTCAAATGTCACGCAACTACTTCACTGATTTCACTGTCACATGCAAACTTACAGGTCCTATATTACACAAAATGGACTCTTGTGAGATTTAAGCCACGTTAGAACGTTGTTACATCCTTAAAAACACATCAGGAGTTTTGTTTTTTTTCATTTACACATCTGAGTAAGAACTCAACCTAAATATGGGTTGAGTGAATGAAATGTGAATGAAACAAAACACAACTCCAGGTCTGTTTGTGATGAGGAAACTACATTAGAACATAGATCAGAAAACAGCACCATGTAGGCCCTTTAAGATTAATACGTAACATTTTACCAGCACTACATTTTGACTTAAACGGAGTTGTAAAAAAGTGTAAATAATACTTTACCTGAACTATCACACCTGTACTTGACTCTGCCTGAATAAGAGCTGCAAACTAGAGCAGGTTCACTAAATGGCATGACATTTAAGTGCTACTTCTGTAACGTACTCGCTAAACGTTAAATAGTTCCACTTAATTTTCAACACAA